TTTATATACAATTTGAAATACTTTCATCGAACTGGTTAACATAGCCTTCACTGCATTTTCTTAGTTATTGTGTTAAGATCAATTGAGATGCCTAATAGATTTGTAAGTTTTCAGAGTTTGAAATGTCTGAAATCACTTTTGTGAGTAGTAGGAAAAAACCCAAATGGTAAAATCTTGATTGATTTTCTTTAATTAAGATAATATATTTTTTAATTAAGATAATCTTTAGTTTAGGAAGCCATAAAGCAAAACTGGGAGATGATTTTAATCCTGTCTAATGACTTATTTATAGATTACTGGAACTCCATCATTTATAGAAATTATATTTCAGAATGGCATATTATCAGAAATAAACAGAGTGATTTCCCTGTCTGGACTTCTCAAACCAAATATTCCCAGATGATTTTGCTTATCTCAATTATTAAAGTCTCAAGAGTACCCTTGATCTCATACTTTTGGAAGTATCCACTACAGCAACTTAGAGATAATTTATTCTGATTCACATGTTAAAATATTGACAATACTTATTACAATTAGGAGCAAGTTTGTATGCTTGAATCTTGCCAGGTTCAGCATAAACATTGACAGTGATAAGTTGGGCTGCTGAAAGCCAATCAATACCATTTCCCACACTTCACTTTTGTAATGCCTCACAGAATTACAGGTGATTAACTACAGAAGAATATGTTAGCAGTAAAAATTAGTGTTATCTGTGGCTCATGTCTATTGGTCATTTAATTCTTGTAAGTCAAGTTTTTTTGACTTAATATGATTCTAAATTACATTTAAACCATGCAAACCAGAACCAAAATATTCATTACGATGTAAGACTCCAATGTTCATGATGAATGAACTTTCACTTAGATTTATCCTTTGTTATAAGTTAACTATATTGCCTACAGTTGTAAGTTTGTATAATTAAAAACGTAAGAAAGAATATTTCTCCATCTCAGATGACAAAACCCCAGAATTAGGAAATATTCAGGCTTCAGCATACCTTGTTTTGGATGAAAAGTCAGGCCAAAGAATTATCCTGTTATAGCCTGGTCAGGGGGTTGTGAAATATCTGGGCAAAGCAAAAAACAAAAAGCAAAACAAACTCCCTAAAACTCCTCTGAACAGACTCCTTCCCACTAAGCCCCTCCCCCACTACTAACCAACCAACCCAGCAACCAGACAGACTAGAGGGACACATTTCTGTGAGTTCAGGTGGGAGTTAGGGCTCTTAAGCTCTGGGGAAGTGATCTATAGTAGCAATTTTCAAAAAATGTTCTGCGAGTGGATAGGACCCTTGAGATGCTATGCAGGAAAAGGGCTCTGTGGACAAATAAATTTGAGAAGTGCTGCATATTCTACTCCTTCACTGAAGATTCTCTGTGCATGTTAGTCTCCTACAGCCATCGAGAACTTCTCTAGAGAAGACAATGACTATTTCCACTTCTCCAGTAGTTTCCACATTTGTTTGACCATCAACCTCTTGGCCACTCCCATTGCATTTATTAACATTTAATGGAAATTCTATTTTTTGGGAAACACATTGGGAAATGTCGATCCTTAAGGTGTAAAGGCTAACAACTGAGGGAAGAAAAATTTGAACGTAGCAAAAGAGAACACCCTTACTGAGTTAAAAGAAATGATTTTCATTGTCATTTCCAGGCCCAATTAGATGATTCTATCTTAACTATTATAATGGGAAAGAAAGAGAAAATGGGATTTGCTTGACAAGACTTCTCTTTATGACCAACTTTTCTGGAATGCAAATGATGAAAAAGAAATCTTTTGCTAAAACCATACACGCATAAGTGATCCTTAATTTTCATTATTCTAGCCATTTTGATTGAAGATTGAGAGTCACAAGACAAAAGCTGGAATAAACCAAGTTTTGGCACTGGACTTGCTGTCATTCCATAGTTTTTATTAAAACAAAAAGTCCAGAAACTTCCATCAGCTATTTAGATTTTTAATTAAAACCAGAGGGCAATTTTAAAATTAGTTCTTTTAATTAATTGTGCTTCAGGTTGCACATTCTATGACTATGCTATGCTGGGTTATTCAACATAATTTTCATTAAAAAAATCAAGATGTGGTTGAAACAACTGATTTAAATGAAGCTAATCTGAAAAGACAAAGAAATGCAACTGGACAAAGTTTTTTTGCCAAAGTGTCTACCCATTATGCATATGTCAGTATTTTCCTTTAATAGGAAATAAAATTAAATTAATTGGAGGGAGCAAGAACTTATAATTGCCAAGAAGTTAAATCACTGATCTGCTGCCATGTAGTGCTGACAGTTGTTTTTCCATACTTTCCATTAAAAAGTAATTCACTTTTGTAATTAAATAATAAATAATTATTATTTAAATAATAATAACTGCTCTGTAATTAAATAATAACTTAGAGACTGATGCCTTAAATTCACTTGTAAGTTGCATTTTGATTATATGAAACAAAAAACTGAATTATTCCCCAGATTGATAGCAAGTTATCTTAAGATGTATTTCTGTATTAAATCAATCTCTTTTTCGGTGTTCATTTGCAATAGTTCCAGATACAAGGGTTTGATACCCATTTAATTAGAAGTGGAAATTAAGGTCTTGGAAATGGAGATTCATAATATAGACTTTGCCCACAGGTACATACACCATGAAGCAAAGCTGCTGCCCTCTCCTCACGTGGGATCTAATCGATAGCAGTGCTTCTCAATCTTGACTTCACGTTAGCACGGCTAAGAGAGGTTTCAAAAATTCCTGATGCTCAGGCTGCATCTGATACAAATCAAATCAGACTCTCTAGGTGTGGAGTTTAGACATCAATATTTTTACAAACTTCCCAGAAGATTCTTATGCAGAGCAAAATTTGATAACTGGGGAACAAGTGTAGACCAGTGAATTAATTTCCAGGTAAAGTGGCTTTATGGTTTGGTTTAAAATTGGCAGTGGGAAGCATATCTATTTTTAGTTTTCAACTTTTCTGTAGAAATTGCAACAGAAATGAAGCTACCCTGTTAAGAAAGAAAAATAAAATGTACAAAAAGGATGATGAGACCTTGTGGTAAACACATCTTGAAGGTTCTGCTTGCCTAATGTGGACACCTTAACTGTCTCCTTTCCCTCACCCACAGACGAGGGTTCTGGTGCCCCATCAGACCAAACCAGGCCAGTGGGACTCCAACTCCGGGACTTCTGAATTGACATTTAGAATTAATATTTCTGTGCAGTTGGATGTACGGGCTACAAAATGGTTGAGTAATCTGGTAGGTTGGCCGAGTAGCTGAGAAAGTTACAGGGAGGGAGAGGAGAGAGAAGAGAAGGCAAAATGAATCAGAGATGAGTGGCAGGGACAATACTTTTCGACTTCCAGGATAGACATTTGTCACTTTTGCCTACCTCACATCCCTCCCCATTTGTTAACTGTGCCTTCTTCTCCTTTAGGGACTCTCTCATCCTCATTCCAGGTGCTCTTGGGGATAACTGATGAGTTAAGCCTACTAGCCTCTTGCTCCTTGAGCAGAGACCTAAGATAGAAAAAGGAGTCATTGCCATTCCGGTGATTGTCCTCATAAGAAACCGTTAGTTGCTGCTTTAGTAATCCCTGGAGCTGCTCTGATTCCTGCACCTGCTGGAGCTTGACTGTTTGGCAAGTCTTTGATTTCTGAGATCAGGGATGTCCATCGTTTGCAATTTAAAACTCCCAAGAGTTCTCTACAGTCCTCCAGGTCCCAGTGAGAATCCATTTGGAGGCCTTATGGCATTCTGTTTGGGGTTAATGAAGCACTCTTTTATCATTAAGTTTTTTTTCTTAATACAACTCATGATGTTTTTGATATTTTTAATGACAAGTCTTAACTAATATAAACTTTTAATTGACTCCTTTATTTTTAGGAATGATCCTGAGACTATTTAAAGCAGGCACAAGGCCTTCTAAGTGCTATTCCAAATCAAGATATTCCAATTCTTTATATCATTCTGCATGCTTTGTGAAGCCTCATTTATTCCTTTTCATTTTGTAAGTATAAAGATTTTGAAATTCATAATGAAGGAATACTTTATGAACAACAGGATTAAAAGCTTAACAAACACAAAAATGGCTCTAAATAATGTATGATCCTTTGAATGGGAGTCCAAATCTACTCCTGAAAAAGAGCTCTTATTTCCTCTATCAAGCAACATTAAATGAAATTATAGTACTACTATTAAATCCAACTGTACACCAATAATTTCTCATTTCCATTGGTACTCTTCTTTATTAAAAAATCTTTATTAAATAACAAAATACGCCAGCTAACATAATAAATACTTCCTCGAGCTCAATATTAATATATAGTTGGCACACAATTCAAGGCTGTCCATTCTGAATGCAGGAAGCACATGACTTTTCCCTTGTGATAGAGCAAGCAGAGTTACACTGACATAACCTTAAAGACCAGAGAAAGCCTTCAAGTTTTTTCCAGGCCTTACAGAAGTGGTGAGGTGTAGGGGATGTTCAAATGGGTGACTTCTTATTAAATCTATGGAGGTAGATGTGGACCATATTATTAGAATTCAGAGATAATTGGTAAAAGATTCAAAAAAAGAGAAAAGCACAGCACTAAGAAGCTTATGTGATTAACAATGTTGTGATCTTTGGCAAACTCCGGTTGAACTATAATGAAATGGAAATAGTGGGGCCACTGACAATAAAATGTGATCACAAAATCTAACTAGTTTACCATGTCTCCCTTTGTAAGAGTCTAAGGAAAGGGAAATATAATTTAGGAATATACTGGTAAAGAAAGTGGAGTGAGTAAACAAAAAGCAGTTTAAAAGGTATTTTGACAATCATACTTTATTTTTAATACAAATATGTAATAAAATAAAAGGTCCTCAGATATCTTTTAAACAAGAATGTTTTCTGTATATCAAGCCATAATTTATAGATTAACACTGCAAAAATTTGAATTGATAACTCTTAATTCATGTACACAAAGTTATAGGAAATAAAAATTATATGTAGGATGAGAATGAACAAACAAGAACCAATTGAAAGTGCTAAAATCTTGTCTCTGTATTAATTCCATTAGTTTCAAAATCATATACATCTATTAAAAAAGTAAGTATTCTTAGCATTGAATATTATTTACAAAATTAATCCATTTCTCTCAGTTACTGTTGATTCTTTGGGCCTGCCCAATGCACAAATTGTAGTGACTCCCAACTGCTATCGTGCTCCGAATGGGGGGTGGCCAGTCTGTGCCCTGGAAGGAGGGATTGATTACACCAACTCGTAGTATTTCCCAGTCTGGGGGTCAAAATAACAGTTCAGACACGGGTCATACAACAGAGTCAGCACTTCCTCGTCCTCGTCCACACTCAGGTCTTCTTCACCTGTGGGGAAGGGGAACCACAGATATGTTAGCTGCTGGCCAGGCCGGAATTTCTAAACTGTTACACCAGAAGGGCAATCAAGTAGGAAGTGCCATCTCTCCTGAGGGATTTTCTTTATCAAGGTAGAATATTCAGACTGGAAAGGAGGAACACTATGGAAGTGAAGAGACTCAGTACAGACAGTGCAAGGTAAAGAAACAGTGATTAAAAGGACCAGCTTCATGATAAAGTAAAGAAAAACTGTATGTGCGGATTGGTGGGGAGGGCCACAGTTATCCCACTAGGACTAGGAAGTTTGAGCAGGATTCAAAATGTAATGATCACAGTTCTAAACTTCTTCATGGGCCAGAGCTGTATAAAGTGCAAAACGATGAATATTAAATGATAAAATATAGAACTCAATCTCCATACACATCCTAAAAAGGCTACTAAAAATGTTTATGAAAATAATAGAAGAACACATATAAAAAACAAAATGTCAGGTGGCCTGTAGTTTTATTGGTGATAGAAAAGTCCACCAAATTTTCCAGGGATATAAACATAGTTTGATGCTTTTTTTCTGTGACATCCATTTAGAAGGAGAGAACTCGTCATTGTTAAGGCTTGGTTGGTTTCCAACAAATGGCATGAAATGAAAAAAACAAAACAAAACTGTTTTACAAAGTTGTTTCTTTTATGTGCCCAGTGTTGTGCTAAGTACTTTAGTATTCACAAGTTCTGAGTACTTCTGAAAAGTTCCGGCAAAGAGTTCAGTGCCAGAAAGCTCAAGTTCTCCCCAGGTGACTGAAACAACTCCTTTCTCCCTTCATTAGCACAGGCTGTTAAGGATCAAAGAAAACAGCCTCTGGGCTGTGAGCTCACTAGCATGAGTCTCAGAAGAATTGGATGGTGGGCACAGAACAGAGTTCACCCATAACAGAGGCTCAATAAGAATAGAGTGTTTCTTGAAGGTGTGAATAAAAGCCCATATGCCACTGCCCAGAGGAAGGGAAGGTGGTGGTGTTGGTAGTGGGCTGGATAAGATGGTAAGGGTTCCATTACCAAATCAGACTAAGCTGGTGTTTGGACACTGTCAGGATACTGACAAATTTGAATTAAGTCCAAAGGTGCCCAGATGGTGAAGAGGGGATTCATACAGTACCACAGCCATCCTTCTAACCATTCAAAATACATTTAACACAATCATTCCACAAGCCAGGCACTGAGCTAGTTGTTAGAGTCATAATGATTATAAGAAATAGGCCCTGCTCTCATCCAGGGTGCAGAGAAGTGGGTAAAACATGCAACTAGCAGACTCTTATGAGCTGAGTGCAGTGCTAGCAATCCTGAAAATGTGGAGTTTAACTGAGGAATGATTATGTCCGCTGTGCCTGCTAACACCTCAGCCAGCCAACTCCTCGAGGGTTTAGAAAATACTTTCTTGTGCAGTAGCTCATTTGACCCTTGTGACCCTGTAAATAGGCAGGGATTATCAGGTTCATTTTCCTGATGAGGAGACCAGGGTCTGCAAAGTAAAATAGTTCATCTGAAGTCACTTGGTGAGGTGGAATTGGGGACAAATTCTTAGTTTTCAGACTATCACAGTCAGTTCAGTGTTCTTTCTGTTTCTTTTAAGAGGATGTATAACACATTTAATTGGGAGCTGTTATAGTAAAGGAATGTGAACACAGGAAAGACTAATAAAAAATTGAAAGATGTCTAACAGTTAAGTAAAGTCGCGTATGGAAACAAGAAATTTGTTATGTCATAGTTCAAAAAGTATTGGCAAAGATGAGAGAGTCCATGTGGGAGGGCAGAAGCACATAGCTCAGTAAACCCAAAGGAAGTGGACTGGCTAACTCCAGAAGAGAGAAAGCTTGATAGAAGTCACAGCAGCCTCTGACTTCAAGTATATGAAGAGTAGCATATGAGTGAGGAATGAAGAGTCTGTGGGATTCTAGGAGGAAGCAATAGGATCAACAGGTGGAACCTAAGGCAGGGGCATATTTTGGGGGTTAGCACAGGAAGAATTTTCTAAGCATTAGAGCTGACTAGCAAATGGCACATGTTCTCCAGAGAGGGTGAAGTGGAGACTGGGGCAACCATTCATGCAGAACTTCATAGATGAATCCTACATAGGATGGGGACCAGATCCAATGATCCCTTTGATGAGCTTCTGTGACTCTGGGCTGCAGTGACTTTGCTAACAAATTATCGTGGTAGCTGACCTGAGCATCCCGTACAGTTTCTAATTAAGAGTAGGAGCTCAGGAGGAAGGCTGCCTTTCCTATGTTTTCTTCTATTGCTATATGATTGGTTCTCAAGGCCTAGCTTCCCTCTCCTTCCTCTAAGTAGGAGAGGTTGGAACTGCCTTCAAGTGGTCATTTCATGTCAAAGATGACTCCCTTTAGGTTACTTCTGTACATGAAAGGAGAGTGTGCACGTCTTCTATTTTCAGATATTCAATCCATCACCTCTTTAATATTTGGGCTACTTCAGAGATCTGATCCAAATGGTTTATCAGTAGGTACTTATTGTGCACCTGCTACATGACTGAGTCGGGCACAGTCTAGTTGAGAATGTGACGCACACATGAAAGATGTAATTGGGAGTTGCCACTGCAGAGTTTCGAGAAGCACTCATGGGGGGGAAGGGGTTTAGAGCCCAGCACAGCTGGGGATGATGGGAGCTCTGCTGTTTATTGCCTGAATGACTATAGCCAGCTACCATTATAAAATGGAATAACATGGCTGGGCTCATGGTGGCTCATTCCTGTAATCCCAGCACTTTGGGTGGCCAAGGTGAAGGGGGGATTGCTTCAAGCCAGGAATTTAAGATCAGCCTGGGCAATATAGTGAGACCCTTTCTCTATCCAAAAACAAACAAACAAACAAAGATAAAATGCCTGTTGCATGGGATTTTATAGAAGATTAAACTGGACACTGGTGTGATAATATGCATAGCACAGTATAATAATATTGTTTAATAAATGATAGTTACTATTATTAGTAAGAATAAATATGTATAACAAAATAAATCATGAACTATAGGATGTAATATTTTTAGTAACTCAGAACACAATACTGACATAGCCTGAATTATGAAGAAAAGGCTTCATAGAGGCAGGGAATATGACATTTGAACAATGGAGTCAGACAGAGCTGGCCCAATTCCCATTTATACCACATCACAGCTGTGGGACATTGGGAAAATTCATTGCTCTGGGCTTCAGTTTCCGCGTATGTAAAGATAATAGTAGTATCTGTCACTGTTCCTATGAGGACTAAATATGATAACACTCAGCACACACACAGTGAGTACTCAGTAAATGTTGCTGTTATAATCATCATCATGGAAAACAGAGGATGCCTGAGCAAGACAGAATAAGGATATGTTCATTTACACTTTATTCCCTACCCCCAAACTGTATCTGCTTTATGTTTTAGTACCAAAAGAAAAAAAAAGGTGGATCTGAAAGAAATAAAAAGCCCTTAACTAGTTTTACACAGGACATAACGGTGAGTTCTTGTTTAAATCAAAAAAGTTCCTATACCAAAAATCATGTCTGTAGAGAGTGGGCCTTGAGGTGGCAGGGCCCCTACAGCCTGGGGAACATTCAGGGAATGAACCCCCAACTGCTTCTCCTCCTTTCCCAAAACAACCATATTCCTTTCTTCATGCTCCCTCTGCCAGAAGTCATGTACCTCTTTGTCTAGTTAATTTTTAGGAACTATGCAGAGATCCTTGTGATCGTTCTCTTTTCACTTCTTATCATACGTTAACAAAGCTGAGTAAAACCACGAACAGGATGATTTGTCTTTATTAAAGTCATTTACATTTTCCAATCAAACTGTAACACCAAAGATATGTCTTTTGTCTATGCTACTTCCCCGCTACAACCCTACACAGATACTATAAAATAAAGCTGATTTTGTGTTTTGGGGCTGGCTGCAGCCATCAGCTCAGTCAGACCTCCTGATCCCATCTTTGTCTCTGTGTCTTCTCGTGTGTTGTATTTTCCTCAATCCCTGCCACTTCCACTCTGGTTTGTTCCCCTTCTCTATGCTGGTTTGCGAAACATGTATGTTTAAAAAAGTAAAACTAATTTTTCCATCAGGCATAAGGTTAACAATCACATACGGCCGAGGTAGATGATTGTGTGTTGAACTCTCACAGAGAGTTGCCATTTGAGTTCTTGTCTTTACTTCATCAACACACTGCGGGACAGTGACCTCTGGCACACAAGAGTTGTATGCTATAAAATTGTTTAGTGCATTCTGTGACTGCACTTTCCCCAGAGATAAGTTTTTAATCTGGTGCTGTTAAATTAGAAAACGTAATATATTTTACAACCAATAAGGTATCTTTCAAGACGAAAAGAGCTGTTGTAATGGGCTGTGGGTCTTTACCACCTAACTGCAAAGGGATCGAGGTAGATCCAATTCATTAGTAAAGGTTTTGCTACATAATGCATACAAACTGGAGCAATGAATGCTATATAAATGCATTTGTTCCAATACACATCACTATAGAACTGGAACCTCACACATTATAACCATGAGGTTTTGTGGTTTTTAATACTACAGCTTTAAATGGATGAATTTTAAAACTATGAACAATGACATTCATACAAAAATTGGGTGAGATTATGTATAATTTTATGTTGAAGTAAGTGCTTTAAACTTACATAAAAGGTTTTGTTTCACTGTAACTTAATTTCCAAAGCCTCCAACTTACATCATTTTGCTATTGTAATCCCTACGTAATGAAATTATAACATCATTAAGCAATTACCACTATGATGTCAAGCATTGGGAAATGTTTTGAAAGGTAATTATCACGCATGGGTATGAGGTAATTTTCAATTATATTCTTGGATAGAACAGATTTTGCTTTTCCTCAAAATGCTAAATTGCTCTATTGAAAGACTGGCTACAGGAACTCTAGAAGGACAAATTAACAAATAAAACCATTTTCTGCTACCAGACTAAGAGCATCTGCACAGGGGTCCAAATTACATT